GGGGGGGGCGCGGTAAAATTTTTTTTGCTTGGGGTGGCAAAAAACTTGGAGCCGGCCCTGATTGGAATCAGTTAGTTTAGCTGTCACCTTTTATTATTTTCTGCTGCCACTGCTGTAACAAATCCAGGCTCCATACCAAGGCTACTGGATCTTCATGACATCTGAAGGGATAGAATCCAGATCCTCTTTTATAAGCACAGGACTCTACCACTTGAGCTAAAGGGGAGATTCTCCCCTAACTGATAGTAGTATGCAGCCTAAGACACATGGTTGAATCGACTTGATTCTATCCAGTAGAGGACAGTGAATCATGTATATACATGTACATGCATGCACACACAAGCCAGCTAGTTAGCTCACTGCAATACTTACAACGCAATGCAACAGATAAACATGCTAATATACACAGGAAAAATGCTGCTCTTGGATCCACACTGATTCTCTTAGCAAAAGAGAGAACTGGATTCGATTCTGCTCTCATTTATACTGGCTTTGTGTCAGTGTCATTCCATTGACTTCAGTGCAGTTACTTTTGATTTACACCAGTGTAAGAGAGAGCAGAATTGGGTCCAATATCTCTAGCATATCCTGTGCTTGATCTATGAGCAGAACTTCAGAGCTGCAATAAAGAACTAGTGTGTGGATGAGAGATCTAGCATGCAGTTCTGAGAGCAGCATTTGACCTGTATTTATCTGTTTGAATGTGCACAGCTCTGCGTAAAACAAGTAACTAACCTTGTCAGAAAAATTATGACATATGATAGACAACAAAATATCTGATGCACAGAATATACAGTATATAGTTTAACAGAGCTACCATACTTGACAGTCTATAGTTCCATACATGAGAATACAGTACATCTTTTATAATGTGCACGGCCACCTCATAAGCAGGCCTCAGCTAGACTGCTGTGTCCAGTTCTGAGCTCCACATTTTAAGAAAGATGTGGACAAACTGGAGAGAGTCTAGAGGAAAGCAACTGATAACAGTCTTCAGATATGTTAAGGGCCATAATAAAGAGAACCGTGATTAATTTTTCTCCATGTCCGCTGAAGGTAGGACTAGAAGTAATGGTCTTAATTTGCAGCAAGGGAGATTTAGGTTAGATATTGAGAAAATCTTTCTAACTATAAGGATAGTTAAGCACTGGAATAGGCTTCCAAAGGAGCTTGTGGAATCCCGGTCATTTTAAGAAAAGGTTTGACAAACCCCTGTCAGGGATGGTCTAGGTATATTTAGTCCTGCCTCAGTGGAGGGGGCTGGGCTGGGCTGGGCTTGAGGTCCCTTCCAGCCTGATGTTTCTATGATCCTATAACTGAACCCCAATGCAGAAGGCAGTTAATTATTCCTGCATTTTATCTTAAGAAGTGGGTTAGTCCAGTTGGTGACAAGGGTATGGAAGTAAGCTCCACTCTCCAACACCCAGGGCTAGCAAAGCTAATCACAGATGAGACATGATCATAACACACTTGGGTTTGGGGATGGAATGTTTCCTGTACTGGTGGCTGCTTGGAGACTGGATCGAGGAATTAAGTAAAGGGGGCCGCGGCAGTGCTAGACTTTCTTAAAATTTCCTGGTGTTAGCAATAGTCATCTGTCACCATACAAAGGCTTCTGTGGGCTCCTGGTATTCTAACCACCATGTTGTCTACACCTGCTCTTGGCAAGGCTAGGTGAAGCAGTGGCTAAAATGCCTGCGTCCAGGGTACACTAATGCTCTGGTTGCTACTGCTAGTGGAGCTGCAGTGGGATAGTGCAACAGAAGGAAGTTTTAAGACCAGTGTTAGATACACTACAAATGTATTTCCCCATGGACAGACATGGGGCAAATGCCAAAGCAATCTTCTTTTTGATACTCCAGTAAGTCTGCTGCAGTGGGGGACTCTTCCTTAGGAGCTTCTGTTGGACACCTGGGGTGAAATTCTAGCACCATTCAACTGAATGGCAAAACTCCCATTGACTTCAATAAGGCCAAGATTTCACCCCTGGAGTTCCAACTGTAAAATGCTAGACAGGTAGAAAGAATGAGGCTGAGGTGCCTTCACTGGCCACCATTTTTACTCACTGCAATGTTTATAGTTGGCATTCAGCCTGATATGTGGCTTTGGAAAATGCTGGTGACAGGACCAGAGGCTAATTCAGCTGTCCTTTCCTTGGTTACAGGCCCTGATATTTGTGGTGATTCTTGGCTGGTTATTTGTTCCCATCTACATCAAGGCTGGGGTAAGTATGGACACTAGGTTATTTCTTTTATGGTTCCCTGTTTTAATCTTTCTGTTTCATTTTGTTGTGTGTGTGGGTCTAACACCATCACAAAACCATGGTCAATGGGAAGAGAGACCTGGATGTGTCAGGCAGTCTACATAAGTTATGTCTGTATATATTTAAACAACAAGGTCTCTTTGTCTTTGAGATCCCAAGATGAGCAGCATTTGACTCTGCCTTTCTGTGCTTCTTGGAGGCTCCTGCTCCTTGGCCTTCTTAATTTCTAGTGTACTTATCAGTGTGGTATCTGGGTGGAAGAGCTTGCTGATGAACTATGGTAGTTGTGTCTTTTGCTCGTAGTATGAATTCTTCTCCCTCTTCTTCTGCAGGTGGTGACGATGCCAGAATATCTCAAAAAGCGGTTTGGCGGCCGACGGATTCAGATGTATCTGTCAGTCCTTTCTCTGCTCCTCTATATTTTCACCAAGATCTCGGTGAGTTAAGCTTTTCCAGTTCCTCTATTCTAAGTGAAGTTCCTATCTATTATTATTTTACACTTGTATGAAATCTCTCTACCTGTCTGGTTCCCTTGTCTCAGATAAAAAACGGTTTCCATGTTGTCACTCTTCCGTCTAACAGTGCTGACCATCCAAATCAGCTCTACAGCTCTGTGTGTCTGTGCCTGTTGGATTATACCAGGGGACTCTTTCTCTAGATGGTGGTTATGATTTAGCTTTCTTTTTCCCGGATTTTGTTTCCACATCTGCTCCCCTCTGGAACAGGTCAGGCTGGCTGGAGCCTTGTACTATACAGTATGCTACATCTCAGGCATCAGTGATAGAAACTGAAGAGAAGGTTCCAAGCTATTAGAGTTAGTACCCAGTTCTCTGCCTTCACTCACTCATTTAGGCATTTAGTTTTAGAGCTTCCTATGTATCATCTGGGCCCAGGGTCTCCCATTCTGACTCCTGAACAAGATTCTCCTGCCGCAGGGTATGAGTAACTCCCTTTGGCTCCCGTGGGAGAAAAGAGGCCTTTCCCACTCATCCTTCCATCAGTATCCTCAGCTGAACATGCAGCTTGTTAGTATTAATGAAACAAAAGTGAGAAACAAGAGAGGAAGGCAGATGGGGAGAAGAGACAGAGAGATGGGGTTAGAAAATACGGGAGTGGGAAAAGCAAGGGGAGAAAGGGAAGGCAAAGGAGAGTCTTTCTGGGATCAGCTGGAGCTATGAAGTGTGGCTAACGAGGGCACAGCAGTAGCGAAGGGAGTTGTGATTTTCCTCCCCTTTTGAAACCATTAAATCTCCATCCAAGTCCACAGGTCAGGCAAACCTGGGTCTGTTGTTTTCCTGCAGTTGCCATGGAAGTTTACTCTTTGCCCTCTGCATAGGAGCTGAGTGATAATAGTACAATTTAACCTAAAAGACCTGGCCTTTTGCTCCCATTCTCATGCTCTTACGATAACCGATTCTTATCAGGGTTACAAATTAAACAGGTTGGGACTATCAAGAAACCGCAAGTTGGATTTTGATTTCTGTTTATTTCAGTGAGGAGCTGTCAACATAAGAGTTTTTGTATGCAGCTGTAATTGGAAATGCATCCATTTCACAGTGGATGGTAGTATTCCTGCAACTCTAGCAGATGTGGAGTGAATCCATACAGATAAATGGCTCATCATTCTAATCCAAAACTTATATCTATATTTCTGTGTTATGTATGATCCCATCACTTGCTACCTACATGCCAGATTCACAAAAATAATTCTCTTTTTATGGGTAAATTCCCTCGGTGTGTGTCCAACTTACGCATCATACTCTGCATTGGGGATTTCCATCAACTCCAGCAGAGGAACCCTCCTCCCAAGCAAATGGAGTGGCTCCACTCACTCGCAGTTATCATTACAGACCTGAAAATGAAGTTGCCTCTCATGTTCTTGCACCCTCGGTTTTCAGGGCAGAGCAGAGCAGTAGCTGGTGGATCTGTACAGCAACAGATCAGTTGGTCCCAGTCTGGCTCCACCACTCGATCATCCCACTTTGCCCACAAACAGAGCTGCACAAATCCTCACAGGGAGCCACTATGGAACTGTTTTCTGGCACTCGGGGGTATTGTCTCCTGCATAAGTTCCCCAAACCATGCGCCTCCTCCTGATACAGCAGAACCACTCTTCCTCTGTCTGTCTGACTCCTGGGTAATTGTATGGCCTCCGACATGCATGCATCCGACGAAGTGGGTATTCACCCACGAAAGCTCATGCTCCAATACGTCTGTTAGTCTATAAGGTGCCACAGGACTCTTTGCTGCTTTTACAGATCCAGACTAACACGGCTACCCCTCTGATGTATGGCCTCTATTACTGTAGTATCTGAGTGCCTCACAACTTTTCACTGTATCGAATGCACCTAATGCTTCTGCTGCATTGTGGCCCTCTGCAGCTGTAGAAAAGGGGGCAGGATTTGTCTTAAAGAATGAACTGAAGGTTTGATTTACATGTTGTGTTTCATTGGATGTATGCACAGTATTCTGTTTATTAGGACTAGGGTGACCAGACAGCAAGTGTGAAAAATTGGGACAGGAGGTGCAGGGTAATAGGAGCCTATATAAGAAAAAGACCCAAAAATCGGGACTGTCCCTATAAAATCAGGACATCTGGTCACCCTAATTAGGACTCAGTCTCCATTCTTATTAGTTATGAAGAACTGTTAGTGTACAATAGTGTGCAAGACACCACCCTCAGCTTGCTGATGAACTAAAGATGTGGCAGATACAATAGAGCACAAAAGAAAACAGACAGAAAGCTGTGATGCTTCATGGAATAGGTGGGTCTTTAGCATCTGCTTGGTGGAAGGGGAGGGTGAATAGTGAAAATTAATATTGTGTCAAGCGTATGGTGTAACATAAAGTCTAGATTGGGTGAAGGAGACAGATGAGAGAGAGAGAGAGGCAGAATAGGGGTTCTCAAACTGGGGGTTGGGACCCCTCAGGGGGTTGTGAGGTTATTACGTGGGGGATCGCAAGCTGTCAGCTTCCACCTCAAACCCCGCTTTGCCATCAGCATTTATAATGGTGTTAAATATATAAAGTGTTTTTAATTTATTAGGGGGGGTCGCACTCAGAGGCTTGCTATGTGAAAGGGGTCACCAGTACAAAAGTTTGAGAACCGCTGACCTGGTAGAATGCAGGCGTTGGAGGAAATAAGAGGAGGCAGAGAGCTTTGAAGGTGCAGGATAGCATCTTGATCCTAAAAAGCCAAATCCTGTAGTGCTGTAAATGGCATCTTATTCAGTTATGCCTATGCCCCTGAGCAGTGTAACTGGGCAAAGCATGGGCATTGAGATGCACCAGCTCAGTCATGTAAAAGTTGAAAGGAAGGTGTGAGTGGGGAGCAGGGGAAAGAAAAGGATCATGCCCTGCAGAGAAAGGGGGCATGTCTAGGCCAAAAGGATAAGATCACGTGCAGTGGTGTAAGAGGGGAAAGGCATTACATTAACTTGCTGTAAGTTAGGGGATTGTTCCACCTGAGCTATACCAGCCATCAACAAAGTCGTGGACCCAGCTAACCCAAAAGAATGGCCCACGTGCCCCAGAATAAGAGGGGCAGCACAGTCCAAATGCCACTCCAATTATAGCTTGTCCAGTGGTGACCACTGTGGAAATTCAGATGTATTTGCTGCACAGCAAGGGGCCGGAAGGTATGCCCACTGCAGTGGCAAGGAGCTATCTAGCCATGGGCAGCGCACCATGCTATGTGGCCAAGTGCCAGTCAGTCCTGCACGTCACCAGGAAAAGGATAAATACAGAAGGCCAGTGGACACCAGCTCTTGTACATAAGAGGTTTAGTTTATGTAGATACATCTGTTGTGCATCTAGGCATCATTGCAAGTGGCATATGCAGGATGGCAAGCAAGCTGCACGTGGCTCTGTGGGAATCTTTCACTCTAGGGGCCAGAGGCAGACACAGCGTGAGCCAAGACATTCCAAGAGATTTCAGAGATTTCCATGCTGCTTCCCTGGCTGCTGCCTTTGCAGACGCTCCCCGCCTTGCAGTTCCTCAGGCTTTTGTCATCCTGCTTTGAAAGGAAGGACAGCTTTCCTTACACTTGCTAGCAAGTCACACCTAACAATTTGAGTCACAGTGTTGATGCAATTTATATTTGCATCTCAGAAGGATCTTGCATTCATGGTGCCTGTTTTACATGCTGCTTCCTCACTTACGCCAGGTTGGGCAAAATCTCAAACACCGTATGTAATGTCCCATATGTATGTGTGTTCCATGGTCACTCTGCTGTGTGAGCTGTTGCCATGGTAGCTTTCAGGGTAGGCGTTGCTAACCACTAGCGCTTCTACCATTGCTGTCACCAGTGGGGCTGTACCAGTGGTAGAAAAGGTTGGCAATTTTAAGATCATGCAGTGTAGCAAGGCATTGGTGACCAGTAACTGACTAAATTAAGACTAAGTATCTGGTGAAACAAGTAACTGGATGCTCCCCCATAGTCTGAAGGAATTTAAAACTCGAGTCTGTAAATGCGTTGCAAATGTTCCTTGGAATTCTTTAGCTGTAATGGTAGTTGTAAAAGGACACTCATGTCATTGTAGCTTTGCCTAGTGTTTCCTGAATTACGTGTGCGTAGCTCTGGAGTGATTTTTTTGTTTGAATGTACTAAATCTTTTCCATGTAAAAAACAGAGATAGGATAAGGTTTTAATGGTATCCATAAAAGAGAGTTAATGGAGTAACAAGGAAATATCAGTAGTAAATTAGCGTAACTGGGAGGCAGAAGAGGTGAACTCGGAAGGTGATTCAGCAAATCCAAGGAGTTCACGTATTGCTCAGTGTTAGGGTGACCAGAAAGCACGTGTGAAAAATCGGGACAGGGTGTGGGGGGTAATAGGAGCCTATATAAGAAAAAGACCCAAAAATCGGGACTGTCCCTATAAAATCGGGACATCTGGTCACCCTACTCAGTGTAGTGGGGTGGTTACCCCGCTTCTGCCTGGAAGGGCTTAAAACAGCCCTGGCAGAGGGCTGCAGCTCTAAAAGCTGGGCTGATTGGGGAAGTAGCCACAGCAGGGCCACGCCCCAATCAGGCCACAGCTGGCCTGTATAAAAAGGCTGGGAGCCAGAGGCCAAGCAGTCTCTCTCTGCACTCAGAGAGAGAAGGGCCTGGTTGCAGGGAGCAGAGACAGGGTACCTGGGTGGCGCAGGGCTGGGGACAAGCTGGGGAGCTCCAGCCGGGATAGCCCCAGGCTGCGGCCTAGTAGGAGGCCAAGGGGTACTGGGGGTTGCAGAGGGCAGCCCATGGGTAGGACAAGGCAGCAGGTCCAAACCCAACCTTGCCTGTGATGAGTGGCCTATACTGCAGTCTGCCCCAGGGAGCGGGGGCTGGTTGGTGACTGGTAGTGGCCTTATTCTGAGGTGAGGTAGGGATAGTGGATGGGGGTTCCCCAAGGAGGGGAGACCCTAGTACTGAGGGATGTACTGTCAGGGGGCAGCACCCCAGATACAAGGGCACCAGGGTCCGGGAGGGACACAGGGGCCAGAGGATAGGTGGATCACCGGCCTGCAGGGGGTGCTCCAGGATGTTGGAAGAGCTAATTCCCAGAGTCACCAGCAGGAGGCGCAGCAGGGGTGAGTCCGCTCCTCTACACTCAGGATTTTTAATAATTAACTATGTTTCCTTGCAGGATCGTTTTATGACCAGTAATATTTGTA